AAGAAGGAAAAACCCTACCTCACCTATGGAACGCAGACCATTTGAAGAGGTTTTACCAGTAATAAGGTGAGGCTAAAAAGCAGAAGATGAGAAGTCCTTTGTAAAGATTCTCCATCAATGAATGAAAGATTCAACTCATTTCTTTAGAGAACGTGATGAGCTCTTAAGCTTATAAACTCAAGATGAGTTCTTCAGCTCATGAACTCAAGATGAGCTCTCAAACTCATAAACAAACGATGATCTCTTCATCTCATAAACTCAAGATGAGTTCTTCAGCTCATAAAATCAAGATGATCTCTTCAGCGTGTAACCTCAAGATGAGCTCTCAAGCTCATAAAACTCAAGATGAGCTCTTAAGCTTATAAACAAGCGATGAACTCTTCAGCTCATAAATATACGATGAATTTTTTAGCTCATAACCTCAAGATGATCTCTCAAGCTCATGAAACGCAAGATGAGCCATTCAGCTCATAAACATACGATGAGCTCTTAAGCTCATAAACTCAATAAGCTCTTCAGCTCATAAATTCAAAATGAGCTCTTCAGCTCATAAACTCAAGATGAGCTCTCAAGCTCATAAACAAGCGATGAGCTCTTCAGCTCATAAACACAAAGATGAGCTCTTAATCTCATAAACATATGATAAGCTATTCAAGTCATTCCTGATCCATGTCGGGCATGGCAACCTTGGCTTAGGAATGAGGGACAAATAATGATACCAAAAATTATCCAAGGTTATGCTCGGCCTAGAAGTAGCTCAGACCTTAGTCTTCAGCTTGAACCTCCCAAAAGGTCACATCACGCTTAGAGAGGATAGCAATCCAACAAGCAAACTCGCTAGGAAAGAGATTCTAGCCCTAAAAGAGCTACCAGTGTAGGGAATAAAATCAATGGGAAGTACTAAAATAAGATATAGCCTCTAATGACCAAAGATTTTCAGTGATAGAGTAGTATACTAAAAATTTACTTTTTGTAGTGAAACTCGTTTTATTAATTAATAAAAGTTTGTTCTTTTCATTTTATTGAGAATCTATATGAGCAAAATATTTGCATTATATTTTATATATAATATGCATGTGTGTCTTATATTTTACATTGTAGATAATCTGGTGTGTAGAGTTTGACTTATGCACAAAAGACCAGATTATCGGATTCTTGTATAATATGAGTATATGTTCACAATCGTAGATAGAATTGGACACGCCATCAATATGATTGTAGTGTAATATTTTGGCATAGTTTTTCTTGACTGTAGAAAATTGTTTGATGTCTCAGATTATTACACTAGTACACTTTGTGTATTGAACAAACCCGTGTTGAGATTATTATTTTTTACTGATTTAATAAGATAATAAATACTTCATGATTATTATGATTTCTTATATTCTTAATCTCTAAATATTTAATTGTCATGTGCATATAATATTTGTTACTTTAATTCATCAAAGAGTGAGATTCATATTGGGTTAATAAGCTCGATAAATTGAGAGATGATATTGTTTGTGTGGTGAAAATTAATATTAAAGGAAATCATGTCATAATATTTAAATGGGTTGATGATGTTCTCTTGAGAAAGCTCATAAGTTTTGTGCATGTCAAACCCTGCAGGTGAATTTAATTATCCGACATGATAAATAAGTTGAATGGTAAGGTCTCAAAGAATAAAAGAATTCATTTAAATATAATTGTCAGTGATTTATTTAATTGATGGACATTTGTAATCTTAAATGTGAGGAGATTATTAAACATATAATAATAATGAGCTTGAATATAATTTTGAGATAAGGTTCAGAAGATCAATAATAAGTATTTTAGTAGACTGACTTATTATTAATGGGTTGTAAGATATTTGTTCTGGGTTGAACATAGGAATCTTAAACCCATTGGGAGCCCGATCCTTATTTCTCCTTAGGGTCTTATCGTAGCTTATATATAGACGTCTAGGTTCTAGATTTCAGCATCTATTATTTACTCATGTTTTTTAGAGAGGCTGAAAGATAGAGCAACGATTCGGAGGTTTTGGTAGCCCACACATTGCATCTGGATTCTAACGTTGGGGAATACGATAGAAGGCCGCAAAGTTTGTCGAGCTATAGTCGTTGTTCTATTCTGCGTTCGTGCTAAGAAGAGATCAGTCCCAAGAGATCTCAAAAATATTATATATAAATATATGATAATTGAGTAAAGAAAAATCTTACTTCTAGAAAATTTAAGTAAAGATTACTCACTAACCCCTTTGCAGTGCTCGATGTGGGAACAACACTGGTTGAGGTTCAAATTTGTTCTGTATAGTCTACTTCTCTAGTTGGTGATTTCTGTACAGTCTAAAATTCTGGAATTTTCTGGTTTCACTACATATCTCTTGTGAAATACCCAACCAGTGTCTACTTCTCCAGTCGCTGTCAATAGAGTCCACCAGACTCAAAGATCTCATCTTCTCCAGTTGGTTCGAGACTTTAGATTGATATGGTGCAGAGGCAATACGTGAAATCTAAATCTATGTTTATGTAGACCTTGAAGACAACTGTAATGAAGGAGTCTATGAGTCCAATTCTAGGAAATTTTGGTAAGAGAGAGACTAGAGATTGTATTAATGGTTAGAAATTGAAACCTACCAGTAATGGGGATTGGGAAGCCACGACTAAGAGATAGGTTAATGGATCTATGTTGACATGTGACCAATCACTAAGGTAGAGGAGAACACACAGTGACAGTTGCATAGTGAATACACAGTGAAAGCTTTTGGCTTGAATCCCATATCGACAAATTCAAATGAAGGAGCCCCCTTACGTTAGTTATTAAACCTTCTCATTTGCCTTTGCAAGTGACAACCAGTTAGAAATCTTTTAACTAAGAGAGTGCAATTGGTGTGGATAATTATTGGAGTTTAAAATTTTAATAGGATAGTTTTTTACTATGGATTAAAATTTTAATAGAATAATTTTAATAAAATTAAATGGGTTAAACGAGTCGTGTCGTGTTACCCGTTTATTAAATGGTTCGTATTCGTATTTCGAGTTTTTACCCATTTATTAAATGTATTGTGTACGGGTTTACATATTTTTCACCCGTCACCCGTTTAACTTGATACGTTTGGCACCCCTAATCCTACTGTTATGCAAGGATCACAGTTATTACGCAAGGATAACGACTACTATCCAAGGATCATGCTGATTACACGAAACTCCTACACACTATAAATAAGGACCGACCCCTAACTTTGGAGAGGATTAGAACATCTGTAAATAGACTCTCTGTAGCCTTGTAATCTTCTTCCCCAAATAATAGAAAAGCCCTCCAGGAGTAAGAGACTCTATTACAGTGGACTAGTCAAGCTTTCAACTTAGTGAACTACTATAAATCTCTTGTCTATCGATTTCAATTGATGGTTGTTGTTACTATGATTGTCCCGAACTTTGTTACACAACTACGTAAATTACACCATCAGAATTGAAATAACATATAATCCAAAAAAGCTCAAATATTATTAAAAAATAAACTTATATCTCGTTATATATATATTTTTTTTATATCCAGATACTTCAATCATGATAAACTATAGATTATTCTCAACATTAAAAGAAATAGTAAGATAAATTAAATTCTCAATCACTAAGTCTCAAAATTTGGATCCACATTTTGATCCGCACCGAGATCACTATTTACATGCTCACCTATGCCGAAGGAAGGAGTGAGCTTAACTAACTCGATAGAAAAACTCTTTTATACCTAAATAATGTTTAAAAATATTAAAAAAACAAGGTAGCCCTTAATTTTTTAAAATAAATATAGATAACTTTTTGAAATAAATTATATGATATTAATAATGACCTCAAATTTTCATCATAGAATGAATCATTCGGAGAATAAATAATTTGTAACAAAAATATCTCGTATACATACATAGGTTGAGCAGCAGAATTTCGCACACTAAAATATATGTGGTCCACCCCCTAAACGCACAAACCATCTAATCTATTCAAATCTGAAGAATATGTCAAATGACGTGAGCCCGGACGGACCCAAATCTTTGCCATAAAACACGTCGACTTTCTGCCCCAAATGTCCAGCTAAATTTTGGCTCAGTTAAATGTCAATTTACAAAATTTTTATGAAATACGTTTTTATAAAGTTTGAAATCTTTTTTTCATTACCACAAGAGTCAGTTTAATCAGACATTGAAGTATTTTCAATCAATAATTATTCTTGATTCCCTACAAAATAAAGTACCCAGCATACTACAATTACCATTTTATCCGTTTGGAGAACTATACCATTTGAACATCTATATTAAGATTTCTCATTTCTCCGGATTTAATGGTAACATTATTTTAATTTAAACAAACTATACACAAAAAAATAAATAATAAAAAGACAAGCTTAATGTAGTCGTTTTATAATGGAAATAAGTTTGTGGTATTATAACTTAATTTTTAGTACCACATTTTATATCCTCAAAAATTATATATTTTATATTTCACTTTTTATATATTAAAATTATTGTAATGTGACATTTTCATTAACTTCTATAACTTATTTCATAAAAAATCATCTCATTGGCATGGACATAATGAGTAGTATATTGAGGATATAACATAAATAATTTTATTTTTAAAGGTTTAAAATTAAAAAAAAATTAAATTTCTAAAAGTATAATTCACCTTACAAATTATTATTATTATTATTATTATATTTACATTACTCATTTTACCCTGCACCGCTCTCTGCTAATAAGTACCACTTTAGCAGTTGAGAGCAGCTTTAGCTCACACTAACTCAGAGAGAGAGAGAGAGAGGCAGAGAGAGTGAGAAACCCGGAAAAGGCCATAACGCTGAGAGAGAGTTTTATACACGACAAGCAAAAGGAGTGATTTATTGCATTATAGAGAGAGAGGAGTGTTGAAATGGGTTTTGCGGAGGGAGGAAACAAAACAGACCCTATGGGCCTTTTCTTCTCTCCTACAAGCGTCCATTCAAGTTTCAACTCTTTCTTACTTCAACTTTGATCTCTTATACATAAATGGCGAATTTGTATGACGCAACATGTTCTTCTTCTTCATCTCCACCTGAACCAGATGATATCTCCCATTTTCTTCATCAGATCCTCTTACGTTCATCATCAACATCAACCCCATCTGTTATGGTCCAAAGGGGTAAACAAATGCAATCTTTAGTGCCTCCCAGTTTTTCCCCGGGAAATCCGGCCCAATCTACCGTCGTTTCTGGGCCGGAAAGGATCTTCACGGCAGAGTCATCTTCCGGGCTGAACTCCTCGTCCGGCGTCGTGTTTCCAGCGAGTGCCATGAACATGGCGTCGTTGTCGGTCGGAATAATTGACAATGACCTTGATGAGTACGACTGCGAAAGCGAGGTACTTGTATAAAATAGAAGTGTAAATGCACTCTAACTTCACCATTTTCCCACTTTCATTGATGGTTCAGTTAAAAAAAAACAAACACTGCTAATTTTATGCAGGAGGGTTTTGAAGCGTTGGTGGAAGAGGCTTCGGCAAAGCCAACTCCTCGTAATTCGTTGAAGAGAAGCAGAGCAGCGGAAGTTCATAATTTGTCTGAAAAGGTCCTTTTTATTTTTCAAATTTGTTTACCAGTAGTAGTAAGTTCATATGATTCTATCATTTTGCGTTTTGATTTGTGGGTGATGTTGGGCAGAGGAGAAGGAGCAGGATCAATGAAAAAATGAAAGCACTGCAGAATCTAATTCCTAATTCAAACAAGGTATATAACGATTCTGATGCTTTTGTAGCTTGATTCTTTCAAATTTATCAGGAATTTTGTTTAGGAATATGAAAGTGACTAGTTTGATTCTTTGTTTGTTTGTGATAGACGGATAAGGCTTCGATGCTTGATGAAGCCATTGAGTACCTTAAGCAGCTTCAGCTCCAAGTGCAGGTTCGTTGGTTTCCTTTTACATAGAGCCTTATATGGTTTGTGACAATTGAATTTTATGCCTTTAGTTGCTGAGAATTTGGGTTCTTAGTTGATGGTCCAAATCTTGCTGGAAAGGGTAAAAGAATGGGACTTATTATTGGACATGCAATGAATTAGAGATATGATCATTAGAGTGCTAAGGCTTCAAGAACTATCAAAAACAGTGAATCATTGGAGGTGGTTGGATGTGCCTACAACTAATGTGGCAGATGAAATATCATTGATAATGGTGGACTGGGCGCAAGAATCGAGGCAATAGCTTGAGCTTAGGGGTCTTGGAACGACACCATCATCTAAAAATCAGATTGGAGTTTAAAGATATATGCCCTTAAATGTTTTTTTTGATCTTATAAAGTTAACTTTCTAGTTAGTTGTCATGCAACTTCTGAACTACCTCTATGATTTGCCCTTGGTGCCATATCCCTGGAATGGATGATCGGATGATATAATGTGTGGCTTATGTAGTCTGTAGTATGTTGTTCGTGATTAGCATGGTTTAATGGCTAAGTGGTTAATGTGTGTACATTAGCACGGTTTAATGGCTTAGTGGAACCACATGTGGACTGTCCATTTCAGACTTTCTTATGGTGGAACTTTGTGATTGGGAATTGCTGAGTAACCATAGGGCATGTGATGGGTGAAGTTCCTATGGTGGCTTACTGCTTCAATTATGATGCTTAAGTGAGCCTTATAATTCACTTAATACCATTTATGAGCAATGATGGTTTCATAAGGGGTTCGGCTCTGTACCACTGGCAAACCTGGTTTTCCGGTTATTGATGAACCAACTTTGAAGTGTGTGGTCCTGTTCAGAATTGAAGTTTCATTAAAAATGCTATTTATGTGACTACTCTGTCCCATTAGAGTTGTTTCTTTATCCATAAAATTTTGGAGGAAACCCCATGCCTTGATAATGATTGATAACCAATGGATTGATTCTGACAAATGGTGGACAAAATGCTTCTAATCCACCAGATAATTCCAATTTTGCTATTTACATTAATGCGACCTAGTACAAGGAATACTTGTAGATACTAGATAGTGAAATAGAACTTGGCAACAACATAGAAGTATTTTCAAGTTACATGACTGAAATTGGTGAATTTGAAATCCTAATGAAGAACAGTTGATGATGGCCGTGTAATCTGCTACAAAGCAAGATTCCTAGTGTCTTGATTTTTTTCAGCAAAGAATTGGACTTGGGCCAAGTCCTATGGAAACTCCCTGTCTTGAATGGGAAATATTTCATAGGAACATTTCTGTATCCAAAACTGACGCATGACTATCGAAAATTGTTGTTTTTGAATTGGTTTTTAGATTGGGCCTTTGAACTCAAATTGCGGTGAAGTCGACCCCTTTCTTTCAATGATAATGCAATCAGAATAGTGCTAGCACAGGAAGATCAAAATGGTCAAGAAAAGCCAACAATCTATTATGCCAGTAGAATTCTCAAAGAAGCTGAAGCTAGATACACTAAAGCAGAAAGTAACTGAAATTTGACAGAAGACAAATTTTTTTTTTGTCTGATAAGAAGCTATATAGATTCTCACTTGAAGTTTGGTACTTCATCTCAATAATCCAGAAGAATAATATCTTCCAATTGCCCAAATCTCCAATCCAATAAGATTTGCATTTAGTATGGAACTTTGGGTTGACGATAAGCTCGTGATTGGCCTTCACAGATTACTTGGCAAACTATGGGTAAAGGATGCTGTAACCTATTATCCTTCTCATCAGTTTACAAGGTTTTAAGGCTTTGTTGAATCAAATTATCCCCCTTGTTACTTTCAGATTCTCTTCTATGATTATGAAGGCCTATAATTCAGGTTGTGTATCCTCCGTATAATTTGAGTTGTGAATTAGGTAATCGTCCATCAAAAAGAGAAAATCTTTTGGCATGCCCCCTCCTAACACTTCTTTGGCTGGCTGCACCAATACCCTGAACAATTTGAGGACTATGACAGCATAAACTGAATCAACTCTGTCTGTTCTGATGACCATGACAGATTAAAGAAAGTTTTTAACACCCTCAACCGAAGGTGCACAGTGAGGCTTTCCCCTGGATGGATGTCCTTCTGAATTTGTTGATAGAAATTGGCACTCTCTGTTCCCAAACTTCTGCAGAATGCTTTTGAGGGGTTTTTTCCCCATAGTTTTCCAACTAGGGATGCAATGCTTCAAGTTAGAACTTGCTTCTGTTTGAGTAAGGTACTAATTTTACATTGGGTCACTTTTACATGATTCAAGGGTGAATTCAATAGAATCCCTCTCTGGTTTAAATGGCGTTACACTCGAGGACATCTGTTTCACAACTAAGCACAATGGATAAAATGTTTTTGGCAGATGCTGCAACTTGAGGATTATTCAAGGCTGAGCTTTGAGTCTTCTTGAGCTAAACCTTTTCCATTTGCACCAAGCCTTGTGGGTGATGATTTTGTGGATCTCTTTAATTCAGAAACAGGCAGTGGGAACATTAAGTGTAAAGCAAAATATTGTCGGCAGTCCAAGAACTACAATGAATGCTATACTTGTAGACGTTGGCCTGGCTTTCACTAGGAACTGCAGATTCCAAAAAACACAATAATTCAGCGAAAATGCCTACGACCAATACTACATACAGGCCTACGGAAAGTTATTTTTGCCACAGTGAAAGATGCTGCTGGCCCGATTCTCTTACTGTTGCCTTTTTTTATAACTCAGTTATCTTCTTCTCGTGCTCATTTACATAAAAGAAACTCCAGGATCTGCCTCTAAAAACAGTCCTGTTTCTGGAAAATCCTTTTGACAATGTTGATAATAAATGCATGGATTAAGTTGCCAATGAATTTGCACTTGTACCTCAAAGGAGCATTATGGCTTAGAAGTGGGGAATTTGATCTCTTAGACTGTATTTAGTCTGCTTCTCCTTGTAGAAGCTTGTAGAGTATCACAATCCTTGCAGGTATAGCATCCAGCTCTCCCTCTAAAAAGCCGTTCCCAAGGCTTATTTTGGACTTGGGCTGTTTCTGTGGCTTGTTTTACCTTGGTTATTGTTAAAGCTTTTTTTTTTTTCCCGGTTCTTCCATCTTGGATATAAAGTTAACCTTTCTGATGCAATTTTTTGTTGTCTATTTTATATCAGTGCCATTATTGTTACTGCTATTGCTGCCATTTTTACAGTGTGATTCACATTGCAGATGTTAACAATGAGAAATGGTTTGAGTTTGTATCCTATGTACCCACCCGGAGTACTCCAGCCAAACCAACTCTCCCAGCCGAGCACGGGGTTTTACGAGGCAAATAGATCCTTGGATATGAAAATGACAGGCACACTTCCCTCTAACCAAGAAACCCCGACAAATACCATGTTCAGTCTACAGAACTTATGCACTAATTCTAACCAGCCATCTGGAGCAAACCTGTCACATATAATCAATTCCGAAACTTCATTTTCGCTGGAATCATCTATTCAAGCCAACCAGGGACCCTTTCAGCTCCACACATCTTCCCCGGTAAGTTCAATAGGAGCTGTGTTGATAATCTAAATCTGAGCAAGGAATGATATTGGTTATTTTATGTTTCTGCATTGGAAAGGAATTTTGCAGGGAGGATTTATTACCTCAGCATCAACTAAACGTGGATCATCCTAAAACAAACTTATTAGGTGGGTTTTCTAAGCCATTATTTTTAGTGGGGTTACACAGCATGCTTCAACGATCAAAATGCTTGAACCATAAGCTTATTTTATAGCCTACTTAGCTTGTTATTTGATGTTTATGCCTTTATGGTCAAGAAAGATAATGATAAGAAAAGAAGCAAGGGATCAAATCTAACACTTGTTCTGTTTTGTCTGCTATAAGGATTCCATATGGGAGCCAAAGCTTCATCGTCAATTCTCTTTAATACACAAGCATCTGAGTTGAAGGACAACACTCTGGAGGCATGCGTCCTTGGAAGAATCCAATCGACAGGCGTACACCTGACTAATTTGGATTGTCACCCAATTCTTCCTCAGCAGCTAGATGGGTACTAATACTTTTGTGAATGCGGAATATTTTTCCTTTCAGCCACCTTACGCATATCCTAATTTCTCAAAGTTTTATGACTTGCCCAGTTCGCAGACACGAAGAAGTGAATCTGATAATGATGTCAAGGCTGAAAAGCCAGATTTATGAAATGTGATGACCTAAAGTTACATTGATAACTTTTTTGTACTTGTATCTGCTACTACTAAGTCCATGTACATTGTGTTGTTGCTTATAAGTTATAACAGTTCAAACATGAAACCTTGAAGGCTTGAAGCTAAAACAGACATTAAGCACGACTTTCTGATGGTGCTTGTATTATGTTCTCATGAAGAAAATAGAATTATTCATGGCATCCGACTTTGCTATAACTTTTTATTAGTAATTTCCAAATCATGATGACTTATCTTGATGAAATCAGCTTCCACTGAATTTGTGCTTTTTAGTTCATATAAATAGTTTTTTGTTGCTCCCCTACTGTATTCTGTGATGCAATCACTGGTGCAGATCATTGGAGGGGTTATAACACACAAGATTTAATGAAAATTTGGTCTTCATTATCGCCTCTTCGGGTTTTTTTAAGAAGGGCTCCACGAATTTTATCTTTTGGGCTAGGCTAGTTATGACTACATTTCCTGTTTATATAAAACAAACAGATTATACTGAAAGTGTTGTAGACAAAATTCTTTTCTTTCCATCAAGTGTTGTCCTTTAAACCCAACCCCCCCCCCCCCCCCCCCCCCCCCCCCGCCCAACAAAAAAAAAAAAAAGGAAAAACACCCCAAAAGGCCTGAGCTCCCAAAACTCGTAGCTTGATTAGCCGGCATAATTTTTTTATTTTTTTTGAGGGGTAGGGAAGGGGGACTTGAATCCTTGACCTTAAGAAAGTAAAACCTTCACAAAGTAAGAAATATCATTAAATCAAAAGCCTGTTGATAAAAAATAAGCGGCATAAAATGACTAAAATTAAGCATTAACAATCCCAATTCTCTGGTATGAAGTTGTTGGAAAAAATAGTTTTAAACAAATAATTTGAGCAACTTGAGACTTAAATAAAAGTAGGGTCTATGCCTTGAAATTGGTGAGATCAAGTTTAAACGTGTTCTCTTTTGAGAGGATATTAACGTGATATATTTATTTGTCCAAAACTTTTAAGATTTGAATGAGAAATTACATCTCAAAGCGACCTATTTGAAGTGATGAAATAAATTAAGATTGGTGTAATAAAATAAGGTTTGTCCCACATTAGAAGAAGATCAACACTTTGATGAGTTAATATCTTCTTAGTTGGTTTTATGCGTTGGGTCCCAAGGAATACCACACTTTTGTGATCAGAGCGAGCGCCTACTTAATTATCACACATGCGTGCTGCTCGCCTCGCCATGACACGACCACAACCCGACCTGATTGGGTTTGAGCAAAAAAATATAATCTTTTTTGATAAAATTTAACTGGAGCAGTGCGGGTCATGAGTCAAATCAATGAAATCCGAATGTTGATCAAAATTAAAATCCCAACTAAATTTTTATCCATTACTTTGAATTTTGTGCCAAAATGGGTCTAGCTCATTCTAGAGGTTGTGTTCAGATTAAAAATGTGTCTCTATCTGTTCAGATTAAATAATGTCTCTTCAATTTGAACAATGACAATCCATATCTCTTCATGCAATTTGAACAGTCACCAAGAGTCTATAAATAGATTGTCTCATTGTCATTTCAATTCATTCTAGTTTCAGAATTTTTTTTCTCTCTCTGTCCATATTGTTGCATTATTCTTTTGATTCACTTCCAGTATAAGCATAGTTGTGTTCGTTGAAATTTTGAAGATTGAAGTGTTGTTTCTTTAACAAAGTAAAATTTGTTCTATTTTAGGAGACAGTTGCTCATCAACCTTGAGCACCGAGAGGAAGGAAATCTGTTTTAAGGAGATTATATTTCACAAGGTTAAGGTTATCTAATCTAGTTTTCTTATTAATTGTTCATGCAAATTTATGTCCTTGTGAGTGCACTGTTTTTTATATCTGTACATTATGTTTAGTTTAGTACATAACTTAGATTTTATATAGTTTAATGTAGTCTAATTATATACATATTTCCATAACAGAAGCCACCTTCTTCATCCGACTTGTTTTTAATATACGTCCTCTATAGAGTTTCACATAGCCTTTGGGAACGCTCGGGGTCGAGGCCTTCTCTGATAATCAAATTTTATTGGGTCATTTTCAGTGTCCATTGTCCAGCTTGTGTGGCGATTACCACCATTTTTCTGTTGAGCTTTTGGCTATATGCCACAACACTTGTGTTTGTTCTGCACGTTGAAGAGCACATCAATTTCAAGCCTGTCTCTCTCATGCGGGAGAAGACAATGAGAACAACAAATCTTTTATTTTAACTATGCACTTGGTGTCATTTAGTTTCCATTCTTTTAATTTCATGACTTCAATCACTCTACATTGTAATATGTTACTTTGGTACAATTAAAAATAGAAGTTCCACTAAAAAAAAGTAATCACATGAATCTCGACCACACTTGCGGAATCACTTTGGTCTTTTAGATTTTTTAATGTGTCATTTTGGTACTCCTTCACTTAATTTTTCATTCTAATCTATCGAGACTCCTTAGGTGTTGTCACACAAGGTTTGCTTTTCTACTTTCAATTACTCACATTAGACATTCGTTATTGTCGAGTTTTACATCTTTGGGAATCACACATCAGACAGAAAAATAAGTGAAAATGTCTTAATATACTATTGATAGATTCACCATTTATAGGCTCAAGTTTTTAGGTGTGTATGAATTCCGTAAATGCATATTGGGCATTGGACATTGGGCTCTTTGGTCTCTCAACAAATGATATCAAAACTAATAATCGATGATTCTGGGTCAACTCTGGAAGAAATAGTGTAATTTATTGGTGTTAATGATAACTTTTAAGAAAAGTGATGGGCTCTTAGTATTGAAGTAATAAAAACGTAACTCGGAAAAAGAGCCGAGAGCAAAGACTCTTGACAGAGTGGCAATGTAGTGACTCATAAAGTGCGGTAAAAGATTCATTTTTGGAAGAGCACATACTCTTATAAAAAATGGTTGGACGCGATTCTTGTAGAGAGTGGTGGATCATATTCAAGGGAGGAGCTAAAGTTTGATGTGATTCACATATTAGGGAAAAATTATTGAATTTTATATTTTCACATCGGATAAGAAAAGAAATAAAAGTATCTTAATGTACAACGAATGAACTCACCACCTATATACTTAACGCTTTGAGAAAGATATGAGTTTTAAACATAAATATTAAATGTTAATGCTCTGTTTGGTACGATGGAAAGTTGGATGGATGGAAAGTTTGAGGGATAAATAAAACATCATGTTTGATAAGGAAAGAAAATAGGAGGGATGAAAAAATAGATAGATTAACTTTATTTTCAACTCACCAAAATCAATCCCTCCAAAATCAGAAAGAAAGTGGATGAAAAATTAATTATTTGTGTTGAAATGTATCTTATTTGTTTATATATACATATATTATGTATACATTAATTTCATATAAAAATATAATAATAAAATATATATATATATAATTTTTAAAAAAATTAAAAATAAAATAAATAAATAAGAAAAAAAAATTACAAAAAAAATATTGTTTCCATCTTTAACTAAGGGTGAAAATTATTGATTTAATACGATGACACGACTTGAACTCGATACGAAAATAAACAGGTCAACTCGCAACTCGACACGACACAATTAGTTAAATGAGTTAAGTTAAATTTGACTAATATTTGACACAAACCCGTAATGACTCAACACGAATCTGATACGACACGATTCGATTGTCATCCCTAATCTTAGCGAGTACAAAAATAAAAATAATAAAAATAGTCATTTTTATTTTTCATCCATCCAACCAAACACAAAGGAAGGAAAATGTATATTTACTATTTTCCATCCTTGAATAATAGAAAATGTATTCATGCTACTTTTCATTCTTCCTACTTTCCACTCTCTCTATCAAGCAAAGCATAAATCAGATGACTCTATCTCGCCAACAGTACTCTATTGGACTAAAGTGATTAAAATTAAAAAATAAAAAAAGTAAACAAAAAATAAAAAAAGTGAAGATTAAAATGACGCAAAACACATGTCAAAAGAAACCATTGTTGTATTTGGTCGAAACAGAAACTAGGTAGATGACAGCGTTGGCCACAACGTTGAATTGTCTTGTAATCGTTGCCCCTTTATGCAAGTTTATATGGAAGTCATCACCAGGGATATGCTTAAGACTACTTTGTATTCCATTCCAAGGACGTGTATGACAGGGTCCATATTCTAATTGTGTGCGTGTTGGAACCGACCGGTGATTCGACTCCGACAGTCCGACATGTGAAAGACACCAAAAAACTTCATTTTTTCTTGCTTTGAAATCAGACAATTGACTACTTGTATCATAAGGGTTGATTAGAAAGCTTTGATTTCACATGGCAGAATGCAAGCCGCAAGGATTACGACTTCTTGTTTTCAAGGAAATTCATTTTTTTGCTACAAGAGTTTATAGGTTTATACCAACTATTCTCACGAACTCAGAGATTAGTTACCGCGGTTTGAGCTAGTTTAAAACTTTCTTCTAATGGACAATGATGACTAGTCCTTAGAATGTGCAGAAAGAGATTGAATATGAGACTTTTGAGTTACTAAAAGACAGACTTAACCACTAGACTACCTCCCTAAAAGTTAAGAAAATTCAAGTTATAATTCAATAGAGAGAAAAAGTCTGTACTATCGGACAAAAAAAATTGGTAACGTACCATCATTTATAATTTTTGTGATAAAAATAGCTACCCTAAAAATGGTAAAATCACCCACATAAGTTGTAAAAACACCCACAAAAATTATAAATCCCCCAAATAAATTTTTATTATTATAAAAATACTCACAAAAATAATAAAAAATAAAGGTACGATACTTTTTTTTTTTTTTTTTTTGAGTACCAAAATATTCGCCTTTAGTATGCTTACTTGTGCAGTGCCGTTGAGCCAATCACTGAGTTCTCTCAAGTATACATAATTTCCCGTTGTGCTTGGTTGCGTCTATGTAGAGTTAGAAACAAACACTTACCTAGTAAATAGAGGGGAAACCCTGTCTCACCCCCACTCTGGATCACGCAAGGTGAGTGATGGATTAGTCATCGAAGTCTTAATCAATTAACTTTTGTGTATAATAAATATAAAATATAGTGAAAGATAAAAATATATAAAGTGATTCATTCAACACATTTAATTAATATTCGAAGAATAAACTAAATATCTTCCAACATTATTATAAAACCACAAGTAAATCCATAACCAAACC